CCTGCTCCCCAGGTGGGCCCCAATGCCAAGGAGCTCTTCCGGCTTGTGGAAGACTTTGTGGATGTCATTGGTTTCCGCATGAAGGACCTTCGAGACGCGTACCAGGTGACAGACAACCTGGGTAAGCCTGTCCCTCACTCTGCTGGCCCTTCGTGCCTCGGTTTCCTCCTCTGCATCCAGCAGTCCCTCAGGGCCAGTTCCCAGGATTTACTCTTTAAAGATTTCGGCCCCTAGTGGGCTAATGGTGGGCTGATTGAAGGCCAGCAGGAAGGTCAGCGGGGAGGCACAGAGACCTTGGACCAGGGTCACACACTGGAACCCATTCCACAGCCAGCCCTCTTACATGTCCCTGGGGATGGGGGGCTCAGTCCTTCCTCTTTGGAGATTTGAAGTCAGGGACAGAGTGTCCCTTTAAAGTTCAGATCCCAGAGCCTACCTCACAGGTGCGGAGACTCAGGCCCACAGGGGGCAGGTGCTATCTGGAGGTGGCTCAGTGGGTGGGGCCAGCACCACCTCTCAGGAGGGCTCCCTTGCCTTGTTCCCCCATTGGCTGACCTGGCCCCCATTTCTGGGGAAGGCCCAGATGGCCCAGAGCAGGGAGGGCCTCGTGCAGCTGCGCGGCAGACCCAGGGAGTCCCTGGGTGGCTGGCTGCCAGGGTGACAACACAGTCCACAGCCCCTGTAGCCACACTCGGGCATGGCCACAGTGCCCGATGCCCCCTGCCCCAGGAACCACAGGCAGCTCCTCGTGGTCGCCCTGCTCATTCGGCACCTGTCCCATGCATTGCCTCTGCTACCCAGCACTTAGCTGGCTCTCTGCCTCACCCCTGAGCCCCTCCCTTGTGTGTCAGGGACCCATCAGTGAATCGCCACACACCCTGGCCTCAATCCCCCACAGCCCCTTCTCCTTCCTGCTCACTCCCCAGGACCCTGCCCCATGCAACCCCCTGGGGGAGGGAGCCTGGCTTTCCTCCCACAGGCCTGTGACCCCTGCCTGGGCGTGACTCCGTGACTCCGTGGGGTGGGGTAACAGGCAAGCTGGCCCCTCCCAGGAGGAAGGGCAATGAGGGACACCCACAGGAAGGGCGGGGCCTGGCCAGGGCTGCTGCTTCAGGAGACCCAAGGCTGGGCCTGGCCTGAGGCTTTTCAGGGAGCCGGGCCCCAGGGACAGGGTCCCACAGGGAGGGGTCAGAGAGATGGCAGCGGGAATCTGTCACCAAGGCTGAGGCGGGGGCTCAGAGCCCCCAGTCAGGCCAGGGTCCAGCTTTCTGAGAGCTCTGACCAGACCCTGCCTGGCCCACGCTTGCTGTCCCCGTCTGCCACCTCACAGGCTTAGAGCGAACACCTACCTGCTCAGGGAGTGGGGGCACGTTCAAGGCCCAAGGGCAGGCTGCCGGCAGAGGCTGGGCGGTTGTCAAGGCCCTGGGTCTTTGGGGGAGTGGCACCAGCCCCCGCGCCCCGAGCCGTGCACCTCTGCGAACTTGTTGCACCCTCAGGTCTACCCCTCCAGCTCTGCATCCCATCTCCCTGTTTGTCTGTCTGTCTGTCGTGCCCCAACTCTCGCCCCCTCCAGTCCTCAGCATCCACAAGCTGCCGGCCAGCAGGGCCATGGACATCAGCTTTCCCATGAAGGGCTGGAGGGCCACGGGTGACTGGGCCAAGGCTCCCGAGGACCGGGTCACTGTCTCCAAGAGTGTCTTCTCCACGGGCCTAGCAGGTGGGGACCCCAGCGTCGGGGGGGGGGCTGGCAGGTGGGGACCCCAGCCACAGGGGAGGGCTGGCAGGTGGGGGCTCCAGCCACGGGGGGAGGGCTGGCAGGTGGGGACCCTAGCCACGGGGGGAGGGCTGGCAGGTGGGGGCTCTGGCCATGGGGGAAGGTGGCCTGTGCGATTCCCTGGAGTCTGACTGCCCCTCTAGAGCCAGGGCTCCCCTCCGTTTCTTCTCCGTCTACCCGAGGTTTCCTTACCCCTCCAGGAAGCTCTCCCTGAGCCCCAGGAGCAAGGCCTTTTCGGGGCAGCCCCTGCAGCATGACCACTGTAACCCCATGTTAGAAGGCTCCCAGATATCTTTGCTGAATGGGTGAAGGGGCCACCTTCCTGCAGGGAGGGAAACTGAGGCTGAAGGAAGGAAAGGGACTTGCCCAGAGCCACAGCCAAGTGGTCTGGCTACGGACGAGAAGCCGTGGCCTGCAGGGACCCAGCTGCCCCTGGTTCTCCAACCACAGAGCAGTGTCCCTGGTGTGGGGTGGCCCACCTACCCTCCAGGGACCAGCACACACAGCTCATCTCATAAAGGATCCTTTTCACAAGGGCAATGGTGGACACCAGGGTGGACCCTCCAGCCGGTGCGGGTCAGAGGGCCATCTGAGTGGGTCTGGGCAGGTCCAGGTGGGCAATGGTGGCAGGAACTGATGGAGTTTCTTTTCCAGAGACTGACGACTCGTCCGTGTTTGTGGTGGGGACCGTGCTCTACCGTAACCTGGGCAGCTTCCTGGCCCTGCAAAGGTGGGCGCTAGTGGGGTGGGCCTCAGGCCATGGGAGGGGCAGCTGGGTGGCTGCGTGTGGAGGGCCAGGCGTGGTGGGGACAGACTGCCCTCACTGTCCACAGGAACACGACCGTTCTCAACTCCAAGGTCATCTCAGTGACTGTGAAGCCCCCGCCTCGCTCCCTACTCACGCCTTTGGAGATTGAGTTTGCACACATGTACAATGTGAGTATTCCACGTGTGCACGTGTGCATGTGTGTACACCCACACACGTGCACACATGAGCGTGCTCTGTCAGCCTGCATCTGCTCACCGTGCTCGGGCGTTAACCCTCTCGGCGCTCATATTGGCCTTGTGAGGAAGCTGCTTATCCCTGATTCATGGGGGAAACTGAGGCTCAGGGAGGTGCCAGCTGCCCAGGGTCCCAGCCGCCACCCTGTGGGGAAGAGTCTGTCCATCCCCAGAAACAGAGTCTGCCCACCCACACCAACACCTTGGCTCTCTGTGCCACCTCCTGGGCCCCTGGGAGACCCACTGCTCAACGTGCCGCCAGGGTGCCCAAGGCTGGGAGGGGACAGGACCGCCTGGCTGGGCCCCCAGAGTTCTAGCTGAGAGCATCCCCGCAGACCCTGCTGGAAAGCCGGGTTGCAGGCAGCCATGTGGTACCCCCGCCCCAACAGCCCTACCTCCCTGGGTCAAATTTGCACATGCACTCAACGGCTCTGGGGTGGTGGCCCTCATTCGGTGGGTCAGTGTTCAGCATCCTTGCTCCCCAAGGGAACTCCTGGGCCCCCCTGGCCTTGCTCTGCAAGGCTGCCACTGGGCCTCAGAGGGGCAGGGCTGCCAGAGCATAAATTGCCCTGGGTTACTCAAAGCCCAGGCCGGGGCCCTGGGTAGCCATGGAAGAGCCCAGCTCTGCCCTTTCTGCTGTGTGACCCTGGGCACAGTAATCACCCTCTCTACCTGGCTCATTTCTTCATCTGTGGAAGCAGGTGGGGCTGCAGGAGGACTTGGGCTCCCCATCCCCACCCCTGTGTTCAGAGCACATGCCTGGCAGACCATGCTGCTGTCCCCTCTTGTTGCCCTATGCTGGGGCCCAACGGGGTGTGGGCGCAATGTCACCAAAGCCCCCCAGCCCTCCAACGGGCCACCCTCTGGGACACAGCTGTTAGAACCCAGGGTATCTGGGCCTCTGGCCACCTGGGGGCCCTCCCTGGTGTCCTTACTCTGTCTTAGTGGACGGGTCTTAGATTACTGCACTCAGCTGGTTCAGAGAGAGGAGGACCTATCGCAGGCCACTTCGCAGCAGGGAGGGGGCTGTCAAGCTGCAGCCAGGACCCCTTGCCTGCCCTGAGCCAGGGTTTCCTGCTTGTAAAACTCGTTGGCTCAAGGTCGGGCCCTCAGTCTCCCGGACAGGCAGAGCGCACAGCACAGCAGAGGGCCTCCCAGCCAGCTCGGACCCCAGGGCCCCGCAGGCTTCAGGCTTTGACCCTTCTCTTCCCTTTCCCCCAGGGCACCACCAACCAGACCTGCATCCTGTGGGATGAGACGGACGTGTGAGTTCACTGGTTGGGG